ATAAAGAGTTATTATTCTTACTCACTAAACCCATAACACAATTTTTGAGAAGCTAGAGGCATATGACAGCCTGTTCTCAGGCTGGTAGCTTTGGTCTCTTCAAGGACACTAGACCAAAACAAAAATCTTCAAGCCACCCTGGGCATTTTGCCATATCCCAAGCAGTGTATTATTAACTCTAAATGGTCAGGGTGCCCAAGAAAAATCCTCAGGCCAAAGTTGCTGCAGTTATTATTCAAATTCTGGATAATACAATGTTTATATTTTATATCTTTATAGAATTTGTCTATATGTCTAATCCTGGCATTCTGTTGCTCCTTGGTGACTCTGCATGTGCTAACTTTTCTCAGTAAAGGAGGTCCTGACATCTCATTCTTTCATCACCTTCCCACTCCATATGTTGCTCATCAATATGTCTCTATTTACGGCAGAGGTACATGCCACATAATTGTCTGAGTGTACAGTTGGAAGAGGCTTGTAATTTGAACTGTGGCCAACTCCTCTAGCTCACCCAATCTTGTTGACCTTTGAGTTTACTTTGTTTTGAATATCCTATTCCTGTATAATTACAGGGACAGTTGTTTCAAGAATGTCTCATAGCTTCATAAAGAGACCTCTGGCTTCTTTATGTGTGTCACAACCTCCAAGGCATAAGGAAGACCTTCAAGTAGATAAAGTTATCTCACTAAAAGCAGGAGTATGCTCAGGACTTTCCTAGGAGAGCTTAGAAGCAGCATTCCTGGAAGAATGCATAAATTATTCATAAGAAATTTCCATCAATCCAATATCCCCAAATTGTACAAATATTAAAAGTCTCTCATGTATGCAACAGGTGGAGATGAAAACCAAAGGTGGCATGGCAGCCATTATGTGACTCAGTTGCTGGATCTTTGTCATGCAGCTGTGCTGGCTTTATGATTTTTACCATTTCATTCAAATATGGCTGTGCCAGGGAATACCTGCCAACTCCTTAGGGACAGCTTCTGACCACACAAGATACCTGCTGACTGCAGAGGACATCTGCAGAAAGGCAGGGCCACCTGCTGAGGGGCAGGGTCACATCCTGAGGACACAGGACACCTGCAGAGGGCACAGGGCTATCTGGTGAGGGCATGGGATACCTGCCCAGGGGCAGGGCCACTTGTTGACAGATTTGGCCACCTGTTCAGGGCACAAAACACATATTAAAAAGAAGAGACACTTGCTGAGGTCACAGGACACCTACAGAGGGCCCAAAACACCTGCAATAGGGCTGAAGAAACTGGTGAGGGCACAGGACACCTGTTAGGACACAGGACACCTAGAGTGGGGCAGAATCAACTGATAGGGCACAGGACATCTCCAGAATGTCAGGGCCACCTGCTGAGGATACATGGGCACCTGCAGAAGAGCAGAGCCACCTGCTGAGGGCATGGGACAACTATAGAGGACCAGGACACTTACAGAGGGCAAGGGTCACCTGCTGAGAGCACTGGACACCTGCTAAAGACAGGACACTTGGAGAGAGGCAAAGCCACATGCAGATTGGCAGAGTCACCTGCTGAAGGAATGGGAACATCTGCCAATGGCTTGGGGACATCTTTTGACCACATGAGACACTTGCTGACCACATAGGACACCTTCAGAATGGCAGGGTCATATGCTGAGGACATAAGACACCTGCAGAATGTCTGGGCCACTGCTGTGGACACAGAGCCACCTGCTCATTGCACAGAACACCCACAGAGGACACAAGATAGCTGCAGAGGGACAGGGACAACTGATGAGGGCACAGGACACCTGCTGAGTGTCAGGACCACTGCTGAGGAATCAGAGCCACCTGCTGAGTGCAGAGGACACAGGACAACTGAGTGGCAGGGCCACATGCTGAGGGTACAGGGTACCTGCTGAGTGGCAGGGGCACATGCTGAGGGCACAGAATATCTTTAAGGGGCCTGGTCACCTACTGAGGAACAGAGCCACTTATTGAGGGCAGAGAATGCCTATTAAATGTTGGGGCCACCTGCAGAAGATCAGAGTCAAGTGGTGGATGGCAGGAATACCACTTAAGGGCACAAGACACTTGTTGAGGGGCATGACCGCCTGCTAAGGTCACAGAACACCTGGTGAGGGGCACAGCCACCTGCTGAGATCACAGGACACATTTAAGGAGCAGGAACACTTATTCAGGACTGGGAACACCCACTGAAGTCATGGGGACACATACATAAAGACAAAAGACACCAGAAGAGGGGTAAGGGCATCTGCTGAGGGCAAAGGACATATTCTAAGCAGGTGACTAAGGACCAGGGCCACCTGCTGAGGGCATGGGGACATCTACAGAGGACACAGGACACACATGCAGAGGTTCTGGGACACCTGCTAAAGTCACAGGACTCCTGCTAAGAGTCAGGGCCACCTGTTGAGGACCAGGGCCACCTGTGAAGGGAAGGGAAACACCTGCCAATGGAATGGAGATATCTTCTGACCACATGAGACACCTGATGACAGCAAAGGACTGTGGTGAAACAGAAGCCAGGCAGTGGTGGCACACACCGTTAATCAGGATTAAAGGTGAGCTCAAAACCACCCTGGACTATATGAGATTGACTCAGTCTAGGAGGGAAACAGAGCCAGGCAGTGGTGGCACACACCGTTAATCCCAGCACTAGGAAAGTTGAGACAAGAAATGATATGGGTGGGTGGAGACAGGTATGCAAGGCGTGAGGAGACAGGAACTAAGGCCTTTGGGCTGAGGAAAGCTGTTCAGGCTGAGGTGTCCTAGAGGTAAGAGGTGGCTTGTTCCTTTGTCTCTCTGATCTTTCAGCTTTCACCCCAATACCAGGCTCCAGGTTTTTTATTATAAGACCATTTAGCAATTTGTGTTACAAAGGACATCTGCCAAAAGGCAGGCCCACCTCCTGAGGGACAGAGTAACCTGTAGAAGCACAGGACACCTACAGAGGACACAGGATACCTCCAGAGGTGCAGGGTCATCTGCTGAGGGGCAGGGTCACATCAAGAGGCCACAGAACACCTGCAGAAGGACAGGGTCACTTGCTAAGGACACTGGACAGCTGTAGAGGGCATGGGGACACCCGCCGAGGGCCAGGGCCACTTGCTGACAGATTTGGACACCTGTTGAGGGCCCAGAACATGTATTAAGGAAAAGAAACACTTGCTGAGGGCACAGGACACCTAGAGAGGGGCAGGGTCACCTGAGAAGGCACAGGACACCTGCTGAGAAGCAGGGCCACCAGCTGAAGACCAGGGCCACCCGGTGAGAACCAGTGCCGCCTTATGAGGGTGTGGGGACACCTACAGTGGACACAAGACAAACAGCGGGCCTGGGACAACTGCTGAAGGCAAAGGATGCCTACAGAGGATACTTCCAGAGGGGCAGGATTACCTGCTGGGTGGCCGGGCCACATGCTGAAGACACAGACTATCTTTAAGGGACCTGGCCAGGTGCTGAGGTACAGGGCCACCTGTAAAGGGCAGAGAATGTCTATTACATGTCTGGGCCACGTGGTGAGGGGCAGGGATAAAGCTTGAGGGCAGAGGACACCTGGTGAGGGGCACAGCCACCTGGTGAGGGCACAGGACATTTAAGGGGCAGGGACACTTATTCAGGACGGGGACCACCTGTTGAGGTCATGGGGACACATACATAAAGTCAGAAGGCACCAGAAGAGGGGTAAGGGCATCTGCTGAGGGCAAAGGACACATTCTAAGAGGCAGGGCCACCTGCTGAGGGCATGGGGACATCTACAGAGGACACAGGTCACCTTCACACGGACAGGGAACCTGCTGAGGGTAGACACACAAGCGTTTCCTGCTGCACACAGGGGTCTCCTGCTGTATACAGGGTCTCCTGCTGCTGTACACAGGGGTCTCCTGCTTTATACAGGGTCTCCTGCTGCACACAGACAGGGGTCTCGTGCTGCATACAGTGGTCTCCTGCTGTATACAAGGGTCTCTTGCTACACACAGGCATCTCCTGCTGTGTACAGTAGCCTCCTGCTATACCACCAGGGTCCCCTATCCAGGAGGGCCTCCTGTCGCCCTGGCTGAGGCTGCCAAGCCGCTCCCTGGGGTGCAGTCCCCAGAGGAACAGCACCGCCCTCCAGCACAGGCCTAGGCAGAGGACACGGGGAGGGTGGGGAGGCAGGGAGTGGCGGTCGCCACCCAGCCTGGGGCCCCTGAAGATCCTCACCGGGTGAGGTCTGTGAACAGAGAGGCCACCGGAGTCCCGGCAGGGAGCCACAGGTAGCTGGGGAGGTGGGGGGCTCCCTGGCACCTCCTTCATGTGAGCGCGGGGCGGGGCAGGGCGGGAGTGCGAGCCCCTGGCTGTCTGGGGTCGCAGTGCTGACTCAGGGCGGGAGTGCGAGCCCAGGCTGTGGGGGGTGCGGGGGGTCCCCGGTGCTGACTCAGGGCGGGAGTGCGAGCCCCAGGCTGTCCGGGGGTCCTGGTGCTGACTCAGGGCGGGAGTGCGAGCCCCAGGCTGTGGGGGGGTCCCCAGTGCTGACTCAGGGCGGGAGTGCGAGCCCCAGGCTGTCTGGGGTCCTGGTGCTGACTCAGGGTGGGAGTGCGAGCCCCAGGCTGTCTGGGGTCCTGGTGCTGACTCAGGGCGGGAGTGCGAGCCCCAGGCTGTCTGGGGTCCTGGTGCTGACTCAGGGTGGGAGTGGGAGCCCAGGTGTGTGGGGGGGTCCCGGTGCTGACTCAGGACGTGAGTGGGAGCCCCAGGCTGTCCCAGGGTCCCGCCGGTGCTGACTTAGGGTGGGAGTGCGAGCCCCAGGCTGTGTGTGTGCGCGCGGGGGCTGACTCTTTCTCCGCAGATGTCACTGCCCCCTCCCACTTCCTGCAGCATGGCGTCGCCCCAGCTGTCTGGGGTCGCAGTGCTGACTCAGGGCGGGAGTGCGAGCCCAGGGGGGGGGGGGGGGGGGGGTGTCCCGGTGCTGACTCAGGGCGGGAGTGCGAGCCCAGGTGGTGGGGGTGGGGGTCCCGGTGCTGACTCAGGACGTGAGTGGGAGCCCCAGGCTGTCCCAGGGTCCCGGTGCTGACTCAGGGTGGGAGTGCGAGCCCCAGGCTGTGTGTGGGGGTCCCGGTGCTGACTCTTTCTCCGCAGATGTCACTGCCCCCTCCCACTTCCTGCAGCATGGCGTCGCCCCAGCCCCACATCCAGGCTGTAGTCACCGAGAGGCATCGGATGGGCGAGTGTCCCGTGTGGGAGGAGGCCACAGGGCAGCTGGTCTACGTGGACATCCTCGCGCAGACCGTGTGCCGCTGGGGCCCGCACAAGGCGCAGGTGCAGACGGTGCGGCTGGGTGAGCAGGGGACGGTTGTGGGGCGGGGAGGGGAGAGTGG